CAGAAAGTCATTTTTTCTTCTTGATGGTACATGAAATTTTCCATTTAGTATCTATTGCATAGAGTATACTTACATGTTTTTCCAGCGAGATTGACCTTGATCTGATAGAAAACAGATGGACACTCCTGAAATTGTTTCAAGTATTCGTATGCCCTGTAACGAGATAAGCAGCAAAACTAAATACAGAAACTATACCGCTGAACTCAACAACCTCAAAAGATACGGAAAAAAAAAAACTCCACGGGATGGGATTTTACTTGTCAACTTGTATAAGTCCCTGTCCAGTGGATAGTTTGTCTTCAGGTAGATCACCTACAGATTCAGATGAATTCTCAATGGCCCTCCGCACACTGTATGGACTAACTTGAATGCCTTGAGCCTGCAAAAGCATCATAAGACTTTTAACTGAATGAAAAGTGTTCACCGAAAAGAAATGCGAGATAAAAAGAACATGCCAGACAAAACATCTAGGCAAAAAAAATGTTGGAGCAGAAACCTTTAAACCACTGAGAAGTAATGCAATTGCTCCACAAGCAGAAGGAGATGCCATTGATGTTCCACTCCCACACATTCGTCTTTGAAGTGTCCATGTAGGAACAGGAGCAACAGCTGTGCCAGGTGCACTTATGCTGACACCAAGATCTCCATCAGAGGTAGGTCCCCGACTGGACCTACAACACAAATTGACATGTATTTTAATGCTTGTTAAACCCTAAAACTAAGAAAACGATCGAACTGCAAGGAGAAAGGGGGAAAAATACCAAGTGGCCACTAGCCCCTCACAGGGAGGTTCCACCACCATATGGGCGCCAGCGGCCATTGCAGGAGAAACATATGCACCAACACCGATGATACTGGAAGTTGTTCCACCAGGAGAACCAACTGTCGTCAATGCTGGACCATAGTTGCCAACAGCATTTACAAATACAAGGCGTTGCTTGTTCACAGCCTAATACAGAATTCCAATACATGCAATATGAATACGACATAATGCACATGCGAGGTTAAGAGTTGACAAACAAATACGAGGGTTCCGCGATGATACTTCAGTAACAAGATCAACAAAGCGTCCGTAGTCCGGAAGCAGGGATGACTCCCCATAACTCATGTTGACAAGATCACATTTATGCTGTACAAGATTAAAACAAAAACGTCAACATACAAAAGTAGATGCATGATAGAAAAACCACACATTTCTGCCCAGAAATAGAAAAACCAAGCAGCGGTACCACAGATAGTTATGGCATTGAACAGCATCAAAGTGGTAGGAAATAACTTTCAAGCATTATTAATCAATCACCTCGGTTATCTACTTTCAGATATACAAATAATTACCTCTAAAGCTGCTATCAATGCCCGTGTCAAGCCAGTTCCAGTCTCCATTGAATCTAAGCGTGAGTCTCCAATTTTGCAAGATATTATCTGTGCACCAGGTGCCACTCCATTCAGCAAGTGCTCCTAACAAGGTAGACAGAAGATGAGTTAATTGACCGCGAAAAATTATCGATACAAATCAATTAAGATGGTGTTGCGTCAGCACCCCAGGGTGGTTGGCAGTAGCTATTCCAGCAACATGGGTACCATGAAAATGACTATCTGTTACAATGCTTAGTGTGTTTCCCTCGTCGTACACGTTGGCAACAAAGGAGCATGCATCTAATCGGCTAAACATACCATACTTCCGCTCAATTCTGCAGCAAATAAATGATTAGAGAAGAGAAGAATTCGGTGAACAAAGATTCTACTACATGTAAAAGTCTGGAACTTTGAAAAGAAACCATTGTTACAGAACACATACCGGTAGTTAGTCAGTGGGGTGAAATCTGCTAGTTTCCCCCAATCGTGATCCTCTTCAAGAGTTTGGGTATCAACAGCAACCCTCCATACTTCACCATCATGCCATACAACAGCATCGATAACAGGTCCTTTGTCGTCATAGTTCTACAAAGAAACACAATGAATTTTACAACAGAGATTCGAGAAAACAGCACACAAGTAGTCGGAACAAACAATAAGTGATGATAGTAATTGCACTCACATCAGCTTGTTCCTTCAAAAAATCCACCCTGCTTTCCAGGTCTTCACGGATCTTCTTTAGTTTTGCATCTTCCACCTTGCTATGCTTCTGGAATAATGAAAAGCATAAAATTCATAAAACCAATTTAACAGCTACGGTTACATCATAATATCTAGGCTGAAAACACAAAAAAGAAAACAGCATTTCCAAAGCACCTGATCAAATTCGTAAAGATTCTTTACCGCCTTCGCAATTTCTTCCTGATTCTTCTCATCCCACTTCTTCCTTCTCTCTTTCTGCACGCCAACAAAAAACAGAAGGAAGGAAGTAAAATCTAATATAAGGTTGTACGAGGAGTGCAAATGAGTCCAACATACAGTCAATGATACCTTCAAACGAGAAGTCAAGTCGGATGCGAATAGCTCGTAAATCAACTTGCAACCAACACGCCATTCTCCAGAAGGGTTTTTCCATGAAGAGTTTACAGTCAAAAGCGCCCCTATAACAAGTCATTTAATCAGAAGCAATTCCAGGCATAAGACAAGGAAAATTCAAGCAATCCAAAAAAATAATCAGATCATCAACCTGATGCCCCATGAATCCGACCATTTCCATCGGCTTTCACCACTGTGGATGTATCTATATCCCCACTTCCGGTGCTGAATGGGGAAAAGTGCCATTGAACCAGTATCACGTTAAAGTAACCAAGAACACCAGATGAAAAATTAGAAGTAAACGGTATATGTACCAGTCTATAACGTCTAAAACCTTCGGCTTTCCATCAGATGTAACTTGCAAGCCCGCAGCAGCTGGATCAACGCGAGAATCTGATAACACAAAGTTCCGTTGATCAGTAACTACAATCCTTATCCGACAGAACCCAAGTCGAAGACTTAGTTCTCGAGCACAAAAAAACCGAACCAGAGAAACTTGTTCACTACAAAACAATCACCCATTCAGTAGGGTACACGAACATCGAAATTGACTGAAACAACAACAGCGAAGGAAGTACCGAAGATAGCGATGACGACGCCACGGCCGTCGTACTCGGGATGAGCTTGGAGGAAGCGATCGACGCCGATTTCTTTCTTCGGCATGAGAGAAGCCAGGAACGTCGACTCGTTCAGTCTGAAATTAGAGACAGGAGCATTCTCCCCACCGCCGCGAGACGACGTCAATGTGTCGGAGAAAGAACAAGACATGGCCCTGAACCCAATCCTCTCCCTTCGGAATCTCGGACAGCTTCCAAGAGATTTGGGTCTGCGAGGGAACAGAGAAGAAAACAAAGTTAAACGATGACGACGGCGCAGCCCGCGAACCGACGGAGAAACCCGCGAACACGAGTGCACTTTGAAGAAAGCGGGGTGCCGTACAGATGCATCGGTTGGTTTTTTTATTTGCTTGAGGGTAATTCGGTAATTCCAATCTTTCGAAGGCTCCGACGTGATTCCGTTCATGTACGGACAGGATTTAGTGGGGCCCACAAGAAGATATTTGGAAATTGCATATCTATTAAAACTGTCAAAGGAAATTGCACAAAGGCCTTGACTGAATTTTTTTTTCCAGTTTTTAGAGATTTAAAAAATCAAAAAAAACTTTAATTAAGATTTTTTAATTTTATTTTTCCTAAAAATACGGTAAATCATTTTTTAAAGAAAGTTACAGAAAAGTCAAAAACCAATTTTACGGATTTATTAGTAAACATTTTATTTTTATCATAAAATAATTATATAATTTATTCTTAAAAAAAAACCATCAGTTGATAAGATTATCAAATCTCGAGGGAGAATATTTGATTCTAATCGACGAACCGTTGAATACCTTTCGACTCGCTTAAAAATGAATTAGACCGAACCGAACTCAAAATATTTGAACCCGTAACGATTCATCATCGTCACCATGGACTGATTTTGCCCTTTCTTTATGGTGGTCTTAATTATGTGCGCCTAATAAAGTATTTATTTCTAATTGTGTATTATATATGCATAAAAATAATCTTACTAATATCAATTAGATTTATATCTAAACATGTGATTTCAATTCTTAATATTTTTTATTATTTGTTTAATTTTGCAATTGATATTAGTGGAACTTCTATTTCTAACCAGCTAACATCCCATTGTTGTAGCCAAAATATATTATTAAATGCCAGTATTTCACATGTAGGAGTATAAAACGAGTTGCGGATCGTGAACCGACTCGTGAGTCGGTCCATATTTTTCTGAATTGGGTTCAAATATTTGAGTCCAGAAAAAACCGGACCAAACGAGCCAATCCATTACGAACCAGGCGTCCGCTCGTCAGCCGGACTGACTCGCGAGCAAAAAAAATAATTTAATTTTAATACTTTTATATATTTTAAAATATTTTATATACAAATTATATTTTTTTATTACATATTAAATTTATTTTTGTTTAAAATTTTATTTTTATATACAAATTATATTTTTTATTATATTTTAAATATTTTTTAAATATAAAATTAGTTTAAAATATTTTTAGTATTAAAATTTTATTTTTAAAAATTATATATTTGATTTGCGTACCGACTCGTTTAGCTCGCAGACTAAGACGATATGGACTGAGATTGGACTGATATATTTATGGTTCGCTAAAAAACGGATCAGACCGGACTGGACTATAAATTTTTCAGATCGAAACAAACCGGGCTAGGCTGAACCGACCCGAGCCATTTTACACCCTTGTTCGCATGTAAGAAAATAGCAAGTTGAATTCACAACAAACCTTTTTTTTCCTGTAGAAATTGACACTATCATTAACCGTAATGTACTTCTAAATCATTTAGATTGACTCGACCGGCTTCCTAAAAAAAATCATATTAAATATATAGTTCGATAATCAGATTAAATCAGATAATTTTTTTCACACTTTTTAATAAAATATAAAAAAATCATATATATACCAATGTTTAATTAAGGGCGTAATAGGGAATTATCAAACATCTACCTAGATGATTCTAATATCCCACCAATAGTCTTTCTCGTATCATCGAGAATCCGGATAACGTAATATAAAATCTCAAACAAAAAGAAAACTGACAATAAAATTGGACCAGAACATGAGGACTTAATGTAAGGATCACACATGTCCAAACAGACCACGAAAAGAAACCCTAGGAAGTCACAAAATTATGTGTTTTGCAGAAGATCACGGATCTTTCTACAAGAAAACCCTTTATTTATTTTTTTAAATCTAAAATGTGACAAATTTGATGAAATTTCCCGACGAAAAGCTTTTTTTCTAAAAGAGAGGGGAGCTTGTGGGGAAACGGACCAGCATCCATTGCCTTTCATAGGCCACCAAGTGGCTCCAACCCAACTCCTCCAGCAAATTCAGCCTCATTTCGTACAGCTTCTTCTTCGGAAGCTCATTCTCGCTCTGAATCATTTCCTCCAACACCTGAAACCACCCACCAAACATTTACACACCCAGAGACCATGTTTAGCTTCAGATGATTTTTACCACATCAGAGAGTGTACATATGCTTTCCATGTAGGGGGAGAAAGAAGTACCTTCAGCGCGATCCCGAGGCGTGACAGCCGTTTCTCGCGTAGGACACTGAGTTTACCGAACTTGGACGATTTCACATCGACCCATTTCATCAGTTCTTTGAAGTTCTCTTCGAATAGATCTTTCCGGCCGCCGCTTTCTTCTTCTTCTTCTTCCTTTTCCGCCTTGAGTATCCAAATCGATATTGTTAATGAGATGCCAAAAACATTTCATCATATGACTCCATAAACACCAGAACATATTCTTGTGAGAATGAACAGAGAAACTATAATCGATATAGAGGAAATACATCGGTGTCCTTTACCTTCAGATTCTCGATGGCCACCATAGCTAACCCTTTCTGGTACAACGCCTCTGCCAGCTGATCACGGGTCATCTCCATCTTCTTCTTTATGTTCTGATTTCAAAAATAACATCGTGTATAAATCAGATTCGCGAATCTTGAAAAACCATATACAACATATAGACACTGAGACACACTTTCGAAGGTCAAATGCTATACATAAACAGGATCAAAGTGAAAGAACTTTGTAAACAAAAACTGCAAACACCTCAGCTTCCTCATCATCTGGATCGTTATTGAGAGGCAAAAATCTTGCCAACTCATCCCTGTCGATACTGTCTATCACTTCGTTTGCTGCATCTATAACCTGAAAAGAGAGACTATCAGCTTCCATGCCCATTTCCAGATCACCTATCATTTAATGCGATTTCTAAAGAACAAGAAATTCTTATATTGCTTGCTCCTCCTAATTATACCTTTTCATGGTGATTGATTTTGTCCTCAGCATCAGATCGAGAAAGCAGACCTTCCAAGATCTTAGCGAGCAATGGAGTATACTTTGGGTATTCAGACTGCCAAAGGAACAGATTATGCACATCAGTTTACAGCATATTGGACTAATAACAAGAGCATATTGCACATCGGTTTATGCACATCGGTTAGAAAATGGTATAAACATGTTTTCATGAGAAGAAAGAAAAGCATTTGAACTGGAAGAATATATAACCTTAAGACAATCACACAGCTTTTTCCATTCTGAACGCTCTTCCTCAGTTCCTTGTTTTAGGCTTCCGAGAAACTTGATCTTTGTGTCACGAATCTGATTACAAAGATTCATCATCATCAAGAAAAGAGAGTCGAAAAGAAATTATTGAGATATTCACCAATAAGTTCTGGATTCAATTATCTAAAAGTATATCGAGAATCGAAGAAAGGCATGGAACCAAATTTTTGCCCATACCTCTTCCTCCATGCGCTCCGATACAGATTTAGTGCTAGTTGGAGCAGAAGATTTCCCTTGTTCTTCCTCAGTCTATCAAACAAAGTGTCATATATTTAACAAAAGAGACTACTTTCACTTGCAAACCAGGTAGAAAAGACGGGAGGAAAGGAAAGATAGTGTTATTAGAAACCTTGTTTGGTGGAACAACATAAGATATCTGATAAGAAACAGGATTATCTTTCGGATTTTTCCCTTCTTTATCATCAAATGATAATTTCCCATGTGAGATATCTCCCAGCAACACAGATCCTTGAGGCGCATTCTGCAGGTACAGTTAAACAGTAAATCGATAGGCAGTCAGAGAGAAACAAATACCACAGAATCAATTACGTCAGCAATCAATCTATGTTGAAAACCTTGGGCAGCTTATCCGTCATCGGTTGGCTCACATAAAACGCTTCCTTTTTCCTGCAATATAATAAAAGTAAGAGATGCATGTTTAGGGAACTGAGTGTCATATATCAAATAAGAAAATTTAAGGAGGTAATCAAAACAGAAAGAATACCCAGGAATTAAAACAGATGATTTAAATGCACCATTTCCCATGACACAACCGTCTGGTTCTGAATAGAAGTTCAGCCGAATAACCTCCTGCAATGCCAAAAGAAAAAGGGTGGAAAGGAGGAAACGAGAAATGGAGAGAAGATCTCAAAGGTTTACATCAAGAATGAATAGAGCCGAGCCTTCTTCTCAGACATTTAAACACCTGCTTTATAAGCATAACAGGTCAGTAAATTCCTAAAGAAGGAAAAATCTTCAGACAAAACCATATGATAGGCGCTGTGCCTAAACTCTATTCTTCAAGCGCAAGATGTTAAATGCATAAGAGAAGAGACAAAACATAAACATTAAAAATGATCCAAGGTTTGTCCCCAACCTGGTTCAGCACACATACTCTCCTCCTAAAGACTATATTTTCGATACAAAGTAAAATTTAATTCACAATCTCACCTTTTCTGCCAAATTTCTTTCGATAAACAAAACAAGTTGCTTCAACTTTTCCAGCAACTGCACATTTTCATGCCTGGTGAAAGCAGTTAAAATAAGAAGAGACGGTGAGGTACAAACAAAATTAAACCATCAGCTTGATGCAGCACTATGTGCGAACTAAGATTATAACTTGTAGCTTGTCTTGACCTCTGTTTTCTTTTTAATTGCAGCTTCACAGCAGCCATAAAAAACAATATCATGACGAACCCAATACTGAAGCCAAAGACAATATCGATCCAAAAACTAAAGCTAATTTTTACGGGCATGTCGCTGACAAGTCTCATTCAGAAGATAGGTACTGCCTGGAGTTAGTATGACACAAACTCTACTCTCCAAAAATAAAAAGCAAGTCCATGGATCCAAAAGATTGGTTGGTTCTATCAGAGATGTAGCACAAACCGCAGATATAGCTGCAGAATATATTCTCCCTTAGGAAGTATTGTAGCCTCTGGATAAACATCACCCATTGCATATACACGCTGGAAGCAAGTCAGGTAGCATGTCAGAAAAAAAAAACACAAAAAGCATAAATCTGGCCACACAAGAAAAAAAAAAGGAAAATGTTTCTATACGGATCAGAATGCAGCATAATACTATGAAATCATTTTGTGAAACACGGCAGCTTTTTAGTTGACAATGTATATTGTGAAAGAGAATTTACAAGCCGGTATAGACCAGTACCATCAGCCTTTTTAGCTGGCAGTTGAAAGGGTACCTTGTTTGCATCAGAGATCATATAAAACTGGGATTCAAATTTGTTGTCATATATACGATTATTCAACAATGGTACGTACGGCTTCACTTCAGCTCCATCTTCCAATTTGAACTTGTAACTGCACAAACAATAGGATGAGTGCTGTTCTATAAACAACTGAAGAGATAGACAAGAAACTAAAGCAGAAAAAGCAGATGCATAACCCACGTTAATGTCAATGCTAATATCTGGTTGCCTGACGGTAGTCTGTCACGGCTGGTTGATAGAGTCTTGAGCTTTGTATCAACAGGTCGATATGGAACTCGTATCTACAGTATGAACAAAACACCATGCATAAGAAAAATTGTGAACAAATAAAGCAAATGAGATATAAGAAAAAATCTTTAAGAGGCAAGCTGTGCCTTGTTAAGAACAGCCGTGGGAACAAGCTTTTCAGAAGCTAGAAGCGCTTCAGCTTCAATTTTAATCGGTGCTTCACTTCCATCGAGTATCAGCTCTTCTTTATCAACATCAATGCCATGGAATGCAATCTGTAAGAACCACACACAAGTCCCTTCAACTCATTTGGACCAAGATCACAAGATACTCAACAGAATGACCAAATGCTAATTGAATATAAAATCCTCCCTTTACCACACTAATGCCAAAACATCAAAACTCATGCAAAACCTTACAATTTTTAGCCTGAAATGCAGCCCAAGAATAAATAAATAAATAAACACAAGTGCATGCAATCCATAGTCAAAGACAATGATTGAACTCAAATGGATTAAGATATCCAGTTCCTACCTCAAAATCAACAATAGTTGGTTCGTGACTTCCTAGGCCACTAGACCAGAATTGAGCTACTGCTAATTCCATGGTTTGACCACCAACCACAGGAAATGAAAAGCTTTTAGCAGATGGAGATGAGAACGTCGCAACGTTCTCCCACTTTATAGGCCTTTGCAGTGGACATAGCTGAAAATTGAACATAAGTTATTAGAACCAGCAGCATTTAAATTTATTTTAAACCTTAAACATGCATTACCTGAAGTGTGTCAATGAAAAATCGCCGAGTGGTATCAAACCCAGAAGTTCTTATCGTAGCCTCAACCCATGTTGCTCCATGTGGGACCTCTATGTATCTTCGTTCAATGTGGCCTAGAGGTGCAAATTATTGAAGAAGGAAATATCAACAAAAAGAAAGACTTGCATTCCAAGCCCTAATGATGTCTATTTTTCATATACAAGATCAAGTCTATAAAAGACAACCTGCGATGAATGACATTTGCGGAAATGAAATCACCGGAGGTTGTTTTGTCACCATGTTGGGCTTTATTATGGTAACAGGGATTCTGAAAACTGGGCCACGCTCTGGCGTTTTGCAATCAATCCCATACACTTCAAAGTAATGCACACCATTGCTGAGATTTGTAGGATCAACAACCACGCTGAAAAGAGAGTGCATAAAAATTATTAATAAACACAACTACAAAGAAAGAGACAAGTAGACAGAGAATAAAAAAGTACAAAGAAATAGAAAACACTAACTTGAAGCTGCGCCCATTATGAGTGAGCAGGAGATACTCAGGAACTCTTACAACTCCTTCATCTGTAGAGGCCAACTTAATACATTCCTCAAATGGGACAATGTCCTTTAAATTACTGGCGCCTTCGTGGAATTTTGGTTCAACTTGTACCGTCCACTAACAATGTCACAACAATGCTTGTTTCAGAATGTAAACAAAGCACAAAACTGCTATACGCAAATCATCTGGGAGGCGAACGAGTTTAAGCAGAGGAATTTTTTAATCTAATACATATATGGAAAATTTGGGACTCTGGGCATCAGAGATAAAAGAACAGTAGCATGTTGAAAAAAGAGTAATTATATTAAGCAGAATGCAACCTAGTGAGCCTAGCATGCATTTGAAAAGACGACTCTCATACGTCAGAGTCTAATGGTTCCTGTAATGTAGAAATAACTCACCTCAGTAGATTGTCTGCAATCAGTAGCCTCCCGCAGGTAGACCCCTCGTGCTGTGGGAGCTGCAGATAGCGGGTTAACAATCTTCAAGAGTATGTTTTATTGACAAAAAAACCCTCGAAATTATGATGGAATTAGAACATCAAATTTCTCGGTTATATATCTAGTGAGAAACGTTGATAGCTAGATTTCAGCAAGTTTGAGTATAAGATGTTTCTGCATTGAGATTTTCAGAAATCTAAAAATGGTGCAGAGGTTCTATTTTCCTTCTTGATCGAACATGAAAGACAGCAGAGTACACTTACTTGTTTTTCCAGAGAGATTGACCTTGATTTGATAGAAGACAGACGGACAGTCCTGAAATTCTTTTAAGTATTCGTATGCCCTGTAATGAGAGAAACATTAGGACAAAATATAGAAACTAAACAATTGAAATCAATAATCTCAGAAGGTAGGGGAAGAAACTCCACAGGATAGAATTTTACTTGTCAACTTGTATAAGACCCTGTCCAGTGGTTAGTTTGTCTTCAGGTAGATCACCTACAGATTCAGATGAATTCTCAATGGCCCTCCTCACACTGTAAGGGCTCACTTGAATGCCTTGAGCCTGCAAAAACACAAACGATTTTCAAGTGCGTGGAAAGAGTTCATAGAAAAGAAAGGCAAGACAAAAAGAACAAACCAGACAAAACTTCAAGGCAAAAAAGAAATGTCGGAACAGATACCTTTAAAGCACTGAGAAGTAATGCAATTGCTCCACAAGCACAGGGAGATGCCATTGATGTTCCATTCATAAGCATTCGTCTTTGCAGTGTCCATGTAGGAACAGGAGCAACTGCCCCACCAGGTGCACTTATGCTTACACCAAGATCCCCATCAGAGGTTGGTCCCCGACTTGACCTACAACACAAATTGACATGTACTTTGATGCTTGACATGTACTTTAATGCTTGTTAAAACCCTAAACTAAGAAACAGATCAAACTGAAAGGAAGGAGAAAAGGGTAAAAATACCAAGTGTATTCTAGCCCCTCACAGGGAGGTTCCACCACTGAATGGGCACCAGCAGCCATTGCAGGAGACACATATGCACCAACACCGATGATACTGGAAGTTGTTCCACCGGGTGCACCAACTGTCGTCAATGCTGGACCACTGTTGCCAGCACTACTTACAAATATAAGGCGTTGCTTGTTCACAGCCTAACACAGAATTCCAAAACATGCAATATGAATATAACATAATGCACATGCGATGTTAAGAGTTGAAACAATTATGAGGATTTCGGAGATGATACTTCAGTAACAAGATCAACAAAGCGTCCGTAGCCCGGAAGTAGTGACGGCTCTCCATAACTCATGTTGACAAGATCACATTTATGCTGTACAAGATTAAAACAAAAAAGTCAACATACAAAAGTAGATACAAGATAGAAAGAAACAAACATTTCTGCCTAGAAACAGAAAAAACAAGCATCAAAATGGTAGGAAATAACTTTGAAGTGTTATTAATCAATCACCTCGGTTATTGATAATTACTTTCAGATATACTAATAGTTACCTCCAAAGCCGCTATCAAGGCCCGTGTCAAGCCAGTTCCAGTCTCCATTGAACCTAAGCGTGAGTCTCCAATTTTGCAAGATATTATCTGCGCACCAGGTGCCACTCCATTCAACAAGTGCTCCTAACAAGGTAGACACAGAAAATGAGTCAACTGACAGCAAAAAATTGCCGATATGAATCAATTAAGATGTGTTGTTTCAGCACCTCAGGGTGGTAGGCAGTAGCTATTCCAGCAACATGAGTACCATGCGGAGAACTATCCGTTACAATGCTTAGTGTGTTCCCCTCATCGTATACGTTGGCAACAAAGGAGCATGCATCCAATCGACTAAACATACCATACTTCCGCTCAATTCTGCAGCAAATAAATGATTACAGATGGCAAGATTTCGGTGGACAAATATTCTACTGCATCTCAAAGTCCAGAACTTTGAATGAGAAATGCCTTGTTACGGGAACACATACCGATAGTTAGTTAATGGGGTGAAATCAGCTAGTTTTCCACAATTTGGATCCTCTTCAAGACTTTGGGTGTCGAGAGCAACCCTCCATACTTCACCATCATGCCATACTACAGCATCAATAACAGGTCCTTTGTCGTCATAATTCTACACAAAAAAAAAGAAACATATACAAATTTTATAACACAGATTCGAGAAAACAGCACACAAGTCAAAACAAACAGTGATCAATGATAGTATTTGCACTCACATCGGCTTGTTTCTTCAAAAAATCAACCTTGCTTTGCAGGTCTTCACGGATCTTCTTTAGTTTTACATCTTCCACTTTGCTGTGCTTCTGGAATCATGAATAGCATAAATTTCATAAAACAAATTTAATAGCTATGGTTACATCATAATATCTAGGCAGAAAACAACAAAAAAAAAAAGAATCAGCATTTCCTAAGCACCTGATCAAATTCGTAAAGATTCTTCACAGCCTTGGCAATTTCTTCCTGATTTTTCTCTTCCCATTTCTTCCTTCTCTCTTTCTGCGCACGCCAACAAAAACAGAATGTAGTCAGTAAAATCTAATATAAGGTTGTACGAGGAGTTCAAATGATTCCAGCATACAGTCATTGGTACATTCGAACGAGAAGTTAAAGGAGTTCAAATGATTCCAGCATACAGACAATGGTACCTTCAAACGAGAAGTTAAGTCGGATGTGAATAGCTCGTAAACCAACTTGCAACCAACACGCCATTCTCCAGAAGGGTTTTTCCACGAAGAGTTTACAGTCAAAAGCGCCCCTATAACAAGTCATTTAATCAGAAGCAATTCCAGGCATAAGACAAGGAAAATTCAAGCAATCCAAAAAATAATCAGATCATCAACCTGATGCCCCATGAATCCGACCATTTCCATCGGCTTTCACCACTGTGGATGTATCTATATCCCCACTTCCGGTACTGAATGGGGAAAAGTGTCATTGAGCCAGTATCACATTAAAGTAACCAAGAACACCAGATGAAAAAATTAGAAGTAAACGGTATATATACCAGTCTATAACGTCTAAAATCTTCGGCTTTCCATCAGATGTAACTTGCAAGCCAGCAGCAGCTGGATCTACACCAGAATCTGATAACACAAAGTTTCATTGATCAGTAACTACAATCTGACAGAACGTTTTAGTTCTGAATCACAAAAAAACCGAACCAGAGAACCGGGTTCGCTACAAAACAATCACCCTTCACAAAACCGTACAAAACCAAAATCGAATTTCACTTAAACAACAACAGCGAGAAACAAACGGAAGTACCGAAGATAGCGATGATGACGCCGCGGCCGTCGTACTCGGGATGAGCTTGGAGGAAGCGATCGACGCCGATTTCTTTCTTCGGCATGAGAGAGGCCAGGAAGGGCGACTCGTTCAGTCTGAAATTAGCGAGAGGAGCATTCTCCCCGCCGCCGCCGACGACAGAACCGCCGCGAGACGCCGTCAATGTGTCGGAGGAAGAACAAGGCATGGCCCTGAACCCAATCCTCTTCCTTCGGAATCTCCGAGAGCTTCCAAGAGATTTGCGTCTGCGAGGGAACAGAGAAGAAGCGAGTGTATCAAAGTCCAACGATGACGACGGAGAAGCCCACGAACACAAGGGCACTTTGAAGAAAGCGGTGCCGTACAGAACCATCTATGGGTTTTTTATATGCTTGAGGATATTTTGGTAATTTCAGATTCAAGGCTCCGTCAATGGCGGATCCGTGGCGCTGTTGGATCGGATGATGAGACGGTGGAGACTGGCAGGTGGGCTCGAGAGTGCATGCGAATTTACGATTCTGCCCTGTCCCTGACGTGCTTTCGTCCATATACGGATCAGGATTCGGTGGGACCCACGAGAAGATTTTCGCAAATCACACGATTTTATTACAATATGACCACAACCATTGCATAATAGTTGATCAGAAAACATGTTGACTGGTCAGTCCGTGACCTAACACGAGTTCAGAATGAACCGATCGAACCACCAACTGTATGATCGACATAAGTCCGCCCCCGGTTGAAATACATTTTGAACCCATAATTATTTCTGTGATGTTATCCAAATTTGCATGCATGACTCGTGAACTGATTCGTGTGTGTATATATAAATATCATTTTGGTCAGGTTATCGATTCCGAGAAAATATTTGGTCTGTCAACCGATTTGTGTGACTTTTGAGTTATATAACTCTAAGTTCAAAGTTTCATATTTTTTTATTCATTTTAAAAAATAAATCAGACTAAATCCAGTTCAAAATATATAAATTCGGGATTTAACATGTTCAATTTTACAAATTTAAGAATTAATAGATACCTCTATAAATTTAAGAATTAATATTATTCCAAAATATAAATTCAGAAATTTTTAGGATTTTTTCTTTTTTTTATTCATTTAAAAAATAAATCGGACTAAATCGAGTTCAAAATATACAAACCCGCGTGACGTGACAATTTAGATCGAACCGGTTCGATCCGCTCGTTAGAAGGGAAATTGCCCTCATGGTCTGCGCCTTGCAAAGTACTCGTTTCTTGATGTTTATTATATTTCCCTAAATAATTTTAGGGCTATCATTAGATTTATATCCCAGCATGTGTCTTTAAGTTTTAATATTTTTTAATTGTCGATTTTAATTTTGCAAGTGATGTGAGTGGAAATTCTTTTTCTAACGAGTTAACATCCGTTCCAAATATTATTAAATTTGGTACTTCACGTGTAATAAATATCAAATATGAATAAAGAGATACACGTAATCCCGGTCAATTGTGGTGAGGTGTTGATCGCAAATTCAAAGCATATGCATCATCTTTACAAATGTCGAAATTCAGACATACATGAATATAAAATAAAAATGGATAAGAGACCGAATAATTAAAAAAAAATGGGGGAATCTTGATGGGAGGAGGCATGAACCCAAAATTAGGGGGGGCCATTTCGGGTTTCGATTCGATTTTCGGTTCGGTTATTTCGGGTTCGGTTATTTCGATTATAAAAAAATCATACCCAAACGGTTATATAGATTTAATCGGTTCGGTTCAGTTCGGTTTCGGTTCGGTTCGGCTCGGTTTTTGCATAATAAAATTATAACCAAACGGTTATATTTTTCGGTTTATTCGGTTCGGTTTTAGATCGGTTCGGTTATGATATATTTAAAAAAAAAATTATTAATCCTACATAAATTTCAAAATATCTATTTAAATAAATGCACAAAATGATTAATCATGTAAAATAAAATTATAAAAAAATCTAAAAACTTCAATAATTAGGATAAAAATTAAAAACATTATATTTTATGGTTTATTGGTTAAAATATATAAGGTTAAAAGTGAAGTATAAAAAAATAATACTAATAATAATGAGGATAAAAATTAAAATATTAAAAAAACTCAATAACCGTTCGGTTAACCGCGGTTATTCGGTTATTAACCGAACCGAATCCGAACGGTTATTCAATTTCCTCAACCGTTCGGTTATTAAGCAAATAACCGAACCGAACTGAACCGTTCTTATTCGATTATGTTCGGTTATTCGGTTAGGAACAATTAATATTGAAGGCGCTTCACGAGTGTGAGAGACCCCACACCGCCGACGAGACAAAATGTTGCATCGGAGCAGTCGAAGGTACGATAGACTTGGCCGTGCCGGTGGTCGGCCGGAATCTCGTTCTCCAGGCAACTCAAACCACATGGTGGTGATCGGCAAGCAAGAGGCATCAACAACGGAAAGTAGTGTCGTGCCACCAGGTGCTCTGCTCGTACATGTTCTATTATTGTCATTCACGAAAAAAAGTCCGAGTCTATGAAACTGTCCTAATTGTCCCGGAAAACAAATCGAAAATCAAACGTGGCATGGTCATCTGCTTGTTGACACGTCTGCATGGAGTCTAAAGCCTTTTTATTTATATTTAATATATCAAATTCATTTCTTCACAAATCTCTATTGAATTACGTATTTTAATTTTCTAAATAGGATGAAAATGATGGGGTTCTTGTTGCTCTCAAGCAGATCCATGGCTGCCGAGTTGACCGGCGACACCTTCGACAGGAAAAACTCCGATACGGAGCTATTACGTCCGATCTCTCGATACTAAAATCAAAGATGTTCGGGGTGTCAATAGATTTTTTTCGACACCTGCAATGTTCCAAACAATTTCAGAAATTTACACTAAATCCAATTATAAGTAGATACAGAGAAAATAATAGATCCAAACAATTTCAGAAACGGAGTTACAGAAAAAAAACATTGGATTAAAGAGGCACTATGGGAGAAATCGAACGCAAAATAAACAGTTTGAGGAATCTGATTAAAGTCTTCATGAATTGGGATGTGAATCTACGAATCTTTTCTGAGAGAAACAGAGGTTCTTAGGGTTTTAATCGCTGCATATCCCGAGCTAGCCATGACGGTGGATCAATACGTTCCTCATTCAACAAACGCGGCTACAAAGAAGGAGACTAGAATAACAAAATACATGGAGATAGAAAACACCAAGTTCCCATTATGAGTGAGGAGGAGATACTCACGAACTCCTCCATCTGTACATTCCTCGACGATGTCCTTTACATTCATCTTTACAAATACATAATAAAAAAAAATGGAAATTACAGGCCAAAAAAATAGGGGGTGGGGAATATTATTACAGGCCAAACCACTTCTCAATGAGGTTTTCCACTCACTTGAGTACTGTCCGCTAGACTCATGGATTTCAATTTATACTCAAACTTGGTGCCCTTCTTCCACAGAAAATTCTTTTCTTAAAAGCTTTGTCCTGATATTTTGGTGCGCATAATATAATAGATACGCGCACATACATTATTATAGTTATGAAAATAATAATTATATTGGTTACCAACCTTGGGACAAAAATTTCAAATGACAACACCTTTTAACCATTTTATATAATCTCTCTGTAAAAAAACATGTAAAATTTACAGTTTCACCAGCAAACATGTGAGTTTCGAACTGCTGACCACCGAAGGCTCCGCCCTTCTCCTAACCGCCGCCGGATAACCACTGTCCACAGCAAATCTCAGGCGGCGGAGTCTGGGAAAGTCTAAAGGCCGAGACTTTCTGGTCAGAGGATGAAAATTTTTCAGACATTCATCAAACGGGTTTTAGATTTGCCTGAAAATCTCAGGATCTGACACCACAACAGAAACAGACCGATGGCTAAAACCTTTCCTCCTAACAGTCCGACAAGCATCATCACGATCAGAACAAGCACATTCGTTTTGTTGTGCCCTTTTGGCGATCCATCCGGAGATTCTTCTTCTACTTCTCTATAGCTCTGCCACAATTGTGGATTCAAATCGTCATCGTCCCTCTCAGAGATTTCGCCTCCGATTCTCTCTGATTTATCATCCGAAACAATGCTCGACACTTCTGTCAATGACCCTTCTCCTCCTCCTTTCTCTTCTTCTACTTCTACTTCTTCCTCTTTCTCCTTCATCTTCATCGACTTCTTCTTCTTCATCGAACTCCTCAACTTCTTCGGCACCATTTTCTTCACGATATTCGATTTAAGCTTCGAGCTTCTACTGCGCTCGTTCTTAAACACTATATCTCGAATCGTCTGCACTTCCTGCTCCACCGGAACATTTGCCCTCTTCGAATCCACCGATGGTTCCACAGACAAATCTCTTGAATTCTTGTCCGGAATTACCCCTGATTCTTGTTCTTTCCAACAAACAGTATTCGTACACGATTCAGGAGCTCGTATTCCTTCTGTACAATCCCTTGAATCTTCGAAAGTTTCTGTAATTTCGCAAGAAATCGCTTTTTTTCCATCGATTGCAACTGTTTCTGCCTTCCCGCGTTTCCCCAGAAACATCTGGACGAAGGAATCCAGACGAATCCTCGCGCTCGGACAGAGTTTCAAGCGCGTGAACAAACGCGGCGCAGCGAACTCGAGGAAGAGGAGCGCGAGAGCCGAGAGAGTGATCCCAACCGTCAGCTTCTTCGTGCTCAAGGCGAGCACCGACACAACGAAAACCTTCACCACCGACATCAGATCCCACCCGCCGCCGGCGACAGGTGTGTTGTCTCCGGATACACGTTCCTCGACCTTACTGCTCGCGACGGCTTCTCTCTCCGCCGGCTCCTCCCGCGGCGGCGGAGGCGGAAGCGGAGGAGGAAACGAGCCCCGCCGCGTCAGAGGCGGAGGAAGGGACGATCGACGCGGCGGAGATGGAGGAGGGTCGACAGCGGAGGAGGATTGTCGGCGTTTCGAGGGGGGTTTCTTGAGGCGATCGCGGTTCTTCACGAACAGATCGATGAGTGATGTCGGGAAACCTGTCTCCACGACCAGAGATCCGCCGTGTTTGGGCGATTGCTGGAGGTCCGCTACAAACCGCGAGATCCGACCAGACTTCGCTTTCTTCCATGGAAGAGGCATGGCGTCTTACAGACGATCCCCAATCCCAAAAACTGAGACCCCCCCCCCCCCCCCCCCC